CATATAAGTCAAGTAATTGCTTTTCCCTCGCCCCCAATTTCAATATCTCAATTTAATTCACAATTTAAACATCTCGTCAAAATGGAGAAATTTCAAACCGGCAGAACACCTAATAAATAAATAAATAAATAAATAAATAAATAAATAAGGTGCTTGAAGTGATAGTATTTGACCAAGAATTGATTGAACAGTAAGAAGCGTTAGTATTTGACCAATTGCATTTCAATTCAAAATAAATAAAAAAATATGTTACTTTCATATTAATTAAAGGTCAAAGGTCAAATTAATTGACTTTTATGTAGTCCCTGGATTTGGATTTACTATTGTTGATTTAATCGTTCAACTTTATAAATTTAATTATAGATAGAGTCATTGATTTGATCAACTATAGTTTATTAAAGGTTTATTTTACTTTTAAATTTTATAAATTTAATTATAAATTGAGTCATTAATGTGATTAACTAGGTAAATGCTCAGCTGCAAAATTAATTTCGCGATAAACATGATGAAGAGAGCATGCCCAATCACGAACTAAAACTAATTATAAATTGAATTTGTTACAAATATGATTACATGGATATCAATTGCACAGTTTAAGTTAATAAAAACACACTAAACATTAATAAAAATTGAATTGATACATACTTTAGCCTTTGAAATTTGATAAAATAAAAATTTTATGTAACTTTAAACTTTAAAATCAACTTTATGGTACCTTAATGTCATGATATATTTCCACAGGCCGGATCGACACTAGGGCCCAAGTAATTTTAAAAATCTCGGAACTCATAATAAGCCCACATTATAAAGTCCACACACATCAATTGAATTTCTAAGAATAATAAGTCTACGTTATTTTACGTGTAAGTCAAGTAGTTGGTTTTTCCTGACCCCAACTTCAATATCTGAATTTAATGTACAATTTAAACATCACATTAATTATGGTCTTGTCTCATCAAAATGTTGAAATTTCAAACCGACAAATAAATAGGGTGGGTGAAGTGATAGTGTTTGACCAAGAATTGATTGAATGGTAAGAAGGGGAAGAGGAAAGAAAGATTGGAGGAGGAGGAAAAGATAACGACGTCGACGACGATGAATGATGGTGGGGGGGGGAGGGCAGAAATTGCACGTTGGTGTTGCGTGTTGGACGCAAGTTTTTGATTAAACAGAGAAAGAGAAAGAGAGAGAGAGACGTGGGGAATTGGAGTGATTCTAGAGAAGTTTTGTTGGGTTTGTGAGAGAGTCCCTATGTAGATATGATTCTCCATTTCTAGTAGTTTTTCACTGCCTCAATACGCTGGCACCTAAATTTTCTATATAAAAAACACTGTTAATTCTAAACTTATTCGTTAAATTAATTATGGTTTTATGGTTTTACATATAACTCAAGTAAATGATATTTACTAAATTGGTGATAATTTTTTATACTAGAAATGATTCAAACTTGAGACCTTTAATTCACTACTTCTTTTACAAAATGTAGGAAAACCAATCAGACCGTACCCGATTGACACCTTGAACTTCACTTTCTATAATAATATCACTCCTTGTTACATTAAAAGGAGCAATTTTAAGATTATTGGCTCATTGATATCTTTTTAAGCAAATGGTTTAATAGGAAATAAAAATCAAATAAATCCATTTTTTGATATCTTTTTAACAAATGGTTCTTTAATAGCGTTTAATAGTAAATAAAAATCAAATAAATCCATTTCAAAAATAATTTATTAATTTTTAAATTGAATCAAGTAATTTAAAAAATAAACTGTATTAAACTTATAATTTAATATGATTTGCTCGGATTTAATGTGTATATATATATAACATTATGCTAGAGTAATATTTTGGGTTATTTTTTCTTCAGTGTATTGTACATTCTTCATCTATAATACAGAGACTTTACAGATTTCACTGTAGATTTCCATTTCCTCTGCGCATTTCAAGCTTCTAAACAGAATTGCTACCATAACTTTTATTTTCTTGCTTTTTCATTTTCTTTCTTTTGTGTATTGTAAATCAATTCAAAAATTTAGAACCAATTGTATTCCAATTCAAAATAATAAAAAAAAAAAAAAAAAAAAAAAAAAATATATATATATATATATATATATATAATTATATAATCATAATATATATATATAATTATATATGTTACTTTCATGTTAATTAAAGGTTCAAAGGTCAAATTAATATATATATATATATATAATATATATTATATATATAATATATTATATATCATATATATATTATATAATTATATATATTATATATATATATGTTACTTTCATGTTAATTAAAGGTCAAAGGTCAAATTAATTAACTTTTATGTAGTCTATGGATTTCGATTTACTATTGTTGATTTACTCTTTCAACTTTATAAATTTAATTATAGATAGAGTCATTGATTTTATCAACTGTAATTTATTAAAGGTTTATTTTACTTTTTAATTTTATAAATTTAATCATAGATTTAGTCATTGACGTGATCAACTATAATTTATTGAGAATCTTTTTTTTAAGGAAATCAAACTAGAAATTTCATTAAAGGGGAACCATATATAAATATGGAATGCAGATCGATATATTTCTATATTTTTATAAAATAAATCTAATAATAAAGTACTCATTCAAAAAAAAAAAAAAAAAAAAAAAAAAAAAAAAAAAAAAAAAAAAAAAAAAAAAAACAAAAACATACAAGTTTGATTTGAAGTATCCGATCAAGTTGACATCGCGTGCTCCACTTGGTGATTGAGTCTATATTTTTCATTTATTTTATTTCAATTTCGAGTTTGAGCGTCTCGGATAGTATAGGATGTAACTTATATGTAGTCTATTGAACCTCCTATATATATATATGTATATTTTTTTTTTCATTTATTTTATTTCAAACTTGGTGGTTGAGTCAATATTTTTCATTTATTTTATTTCAATCTTGAGTTTGAGTGCAACTCATATGGACGGCAGTGTTTTTACAAATTTAGTGAATCTATATAGAATAGTATAGGATGTAACTCATATGGTTAATTCCACTATATGTTAATAGTCTTTTATCATTATTTTTTATTTTCTTCAAATTTCGAAACTTCTTTATTCTTTATGAATGAGATCCCTCCTTTATTTTTATAATTAATATTAATATTATTATTATTATGCTTTTTTTTTTTTGAGTATTGGAGGAGGGAGATTCGAATCTGCATATATTGTCAGGTCATATATACACTTACCGTTAGATTATACCTTAGTGTGCTTGTTTATTTTAACTTTATCTATTTTAATCTATATAATTATTTTAATTCAACCTGTATTTATTGTCCCATTAACCTTTCTATCAGATTCTATTGATTTTGTATGATTGCAGTTATTATACTCACAATCACATATAAACACAATGCACAGAAAAGTAATTTGTTGTTAATTAGAAGTTTTTGTTGTGGGTCCCTCCGACACGTGGGACCTACACGCTTTGAATGAAAGAAAAAAAAAAAGAAAAAGTGTTATACTGTACACACATTGCAACACGCTTTCTTTGAAAAAGAAAACAGTGGACGCGTTAATAACGCGTCCTTCATTCTCTATAAATAGAGGCAATTGCAACTCTCAAGATACACAGAACAAAGAGAGAAAATGTAGCGAGTTAGTTATCTAGTTTTAGAAATGGTTTTCTAAAATTGAGGGAGAGAAAATAGTGAGAAAATTATTATGAGTTGTTTTTGGGAAACACTTTGTGTGTCACTATTTTTGTATTACTCTCTTTGTCTCTTTGTGTACCTACTATTTTTAATAGTGAAAGAATGATTCGGAGTTTGTCCCGTGGACGTAGCCCTAAACAGTTGCTCTTTGTGTACCTACTATTTTTAATAGTGAAAGAATGATTCGGAGTTTGTCCCGTGGACGTAGCCCTAAACAGTTGAGGGTGAACCACGTAAATATCGGTGTGTCATATTTCTATTTTTCCGCTGTGTTATTATTCTTGTAATTTTATTGCCAGTATCCCAACAAGTGGTATCAGAGCTCGGGCCCAAACAGTTTTATGTCAATAACTCAATTTATATAATCTTAATAACTTGATTATTTTAAACTAGGAGTACATAAAACGAGTACAAACCGTGTAACCGGTTAAACAAACATCAATTCCATATTTATTTCAGAGACCAACACACTTTATAGATACGTACGTGTGTGTTCGGCTAATATCTTATTTAACTTAACTATTTTAAACTACGAATACAAGTACAAATAATATAAAAAATACCAATTCAAATACCAATTCCATATTTATTCAGAGACGAACACATCTTATGGATAGGTAATGTGCATACGCACGCGCGAGAAGAAGGAGCTCAAAGGCCGGAATAGGCTTTCAAAGTACGGTGCTGCTTGTGACCTTCAGGGGTACCAGGCGCGGTACCAAAGGAAATGAACCAGACCAATATGAGGGTCGAAGGGTTTATACATTAATGGATTGTCCTCTCATCAACAATTCTTCTGGGCACTTCTATTATGTCCTTTTGACATATGAGAATAGGCCAAATCGAGAGTCTTTTCTCCTTTCTGTTTATTGTCACTCTTATTTGATCACAGGCCATCAATCCTGTTATTGCTCCACCCCTGATTCATCAAACTCAAAACACTCATCACAAGTATTTTGGGACGATTGAAAAATTGAAAGCTAGTACAAAATTTATGGGGACAGTTGAGAGTACTTTTATTCATAAAAACTAAAATATATTAGTTCGATAGTTACTGGAGTGATAGTTACCGAGCTTGTAGTTCCTTACCATGATCCTTCGCCTCCTGCCATGACTAAAAAAATTTGAAGAAGAAGATAAGTCACAAATCTACCCTACTTTCTCCATTCTTTGTTTTGAATTTTCCAAACCATTGACATCATTCTTGATTGAAGTATTTGGTAAGGAAACTTTTTGTCCGTATGAGGGTACAAAACCCAGTTTGGTTTCATTTTCATTTAGTTTTGAGGAAATTTATATAGTTCACTATCTTCGAAAAAGTAAAGCTGGTCGATTCCCATTATGGGAATCTGATAGTTTTTCTCCATTCCCATAACCATCGAAGATCATTCTTTCACCACCCATTTTATGTAAGCTCTTCCACTGCCTTTTGAGAAGAACGAATGGACAATTTTGCCTATCAAGTAATGCAGAAAAATAATTAAATTTTTTTTGAAAAAATTTATAACCAAGGCCTATAAATTAAATAAATCGCGCATACCAGAAATTATCATTGCCTTTTAGGCCAATGCGTTTTTGTTGAAATGGTTTTTGTGAAATCTTGATTTCCTTCGAGCGTTTCTACATGACTGATTCCCATGGATTCGTAGAAAGGCCGGGTGGGTTCTATTTCAACGTAGCCAGCGAAAGGAATATCAGAAACATTTTTCCTTTTGGTCTCAAGAGGAAGGTCAAACAATTCTTCTAGTACGTTAAAGAAGTCTGCATGTAGTTGAAGGGGAACATTATTATAAACAGCTACGAAGCATCCATACTCCTCTAGTGCTTTCAAAACATCCTTGCATTTGCTCACCCAACCACTAGTTCCTAACATCCTTGCATTTGCTCACCCAACCACTAGTTCCTGCAGCCTCCAAGTTTTCACTTGAGAAGTCTATCACAGGAAGCTTGGAGTTGGACAAAGAACCCATAGATAAAATTATAAAATTATACTATGATGAAGGATAGAACCAAATAGAGAGGAAAACCCTACTTTTTGTGATTCTCAAAGCTCATTGTAGTCTTAGTATTTATAGACTAAACCCTAAATTAAATAATATGAAATAATTAAGAATCCAAGGACTTGGAATAAATAAAAGTAAACTTCCTATTAATATGGATCGAGTCATTAAAAAACAATTACCTTACGGTTCCTTAGAGAAGCAAGCCAGACATGAATATGAAGCTTGCCGTGAGCCAAGCCACAATTTCCCATTTAGGGCTGGTTTGGTTTAATGGTTCATACGAGTTGGTGACTGATGGTTGATAGCCGTTAGCTAGTTATTATTGGTGTTTGGTAAAATTTTAGTAGTGGTTGCTGTTAAAATACAAATGACTATTATAAGGGTAATTAAACAATTATTGTTTTTGTTTGGTAAAATTTTAGTAGTGGTTGGTAAAATTTTAGTAGTGGTTGCTGTTAAATTGATGAGTTTTAATCCTGAATTTTTTACAAATACCGTTATGTGGATATCAATTGCACAGTTTAAATTAAAGCACACTAAACATTAATAAAAATTGACTTGATACATAATTTAGCCCTTGAGATTGGATAAAATAAAAACTTTATATGTCACTTTAAAACTTTAAAACCAACTTTATGGTACTTTAATGTGATATGATCCGTTCCCATAGGTTGGACCGGCAATAGGGCTCAGGTAAACTTAAGGTTCCGAGACCCGTAGTAAGCCTACATTACAAAGTCCATACACATTAAATGTATTTCTAGGAATAATAAGTCTACATTATTTTACATATAAGTCAAGTAATTGCTTTTCTCTGCCCAACTTCAATATCTCAATTTAATCCACAATTTAAACATCTCATTAATTATGATTTTATCAAACCGGCAGAACACCTAATAAATAAATAAATAAATACATAGGGTGCTTGAAGTGATAGTATTTGACCAAGAATTGATTGAACGGTAAGAAGCGTTAATATTTGACCAATTGCATTTCAATTCAAAATAAATAAAAAAATATGTTACTTTCATATTAATTAAAGGTCAAAGGTCAAATTAATTGACTTTTATGTAATCTCTAGATAGAGTCATTGATTTGATCGACTATAATTTATTAAAGTCAAAGGTCAAATTAATTGACTTTTATGTAATCTCTAGATAGAGTCATTGATTTGATCGACTATAATTTATTAAAGGTTTATTTTACTTTTAAATTTTATAAATTTAATTATAAATTGAGTTATTGATGTGACCGACTATAATTTATTGAGAAGTTTTATGTCAATAACTCAAGAGGAAGGTCAAATAATTCTTCTAGTACGTTAAACAAGTCTGCATATAGTTGAAGGGGAACATTATTATTTCAAACTTGGTGGTTGAGTACTTTCTATATTTTTCATTTATTTTATTTCAAACTTGGTGGTTGAGTCTATATTTTTCATTTATTTTATTTCAATCTCAAGTTTGAGCGCTCTCAATTATAAGTGTTTTCACAAATTTAGTGAATTTATAGGATAATAGAGGATGTAACTCATATATAGCCCATTGAACCTTATATATATATGTGGTTAATTCAACTATCTGTTAATAGTCTTTTATCATTATTTTTTATTTTCTTCAAATTTCGAAACTTCTTTATTCTTTATAAATGAGATCCCTCCTTCATTTTTATAATTAATATTAATATTATTATTATGTTGTTTTTTTTTTTTTTGAGTATTAGAGGAGGAAAGATTCGAACCTGGATATATTGTCAGGTCGTATATACACTTATCTTAGCGGACTACTGTACCGATATGTGCAATAAAATTGTCACTTTATTCTTAATATTTTTGGTATTTTTGAGTTGTTTTTTTCAAGCTTAAATTCAGTTTGCGTTTGAACAATGTTTTTTTTTGGTATTTTTGAGTTGTTTTCAAGCTTAAATCAGTTGGTTGAACAATGTTTATCAATTAGACATGATCTAAGTTATTTTTTTGAATAATACCATTTAATTGAGGAATTTTCAGCATTATTAATATTTTGACCATTGTTTACTTCTTCAGACATAACTGAATGTATAGATGTTCAAATTGATTGATTTGTGATTCGTTGGAAAGATAGAAAGGAGCTCTACAAATTTCTAAGAGGAGGCAGGATTCAATTCAGCCTTGAAATTCATCAAAAAGAGCTCTGAATCTAGAACAAATGTCATGAATGAACATGCATGAACGAGTTTTATTGTTTAAGACATATCTGGAGCTTCAAAAGCCAAAATTAGCTCAGCCCAGGCCCATTTGAATCTTAGAAGATGGCCCTACAGTTGCTGTGAAGACAACTAAATGAAGTGAGGTCGTTTTGATTGTCAAAAACGCCATAAAATATCACGTTTTGAGCAATTGTCAAAAAAGCGCCAATAGAATATCACGTTTTGAGCAAAAATATCTGCTTCAACTTTGGATCTGGTTTACTTTAGGTTCGTACTCTTTCTGCTGTGAGTGTCCGTTTTGGGGCGAGCCTTAGTTCGTTAGAAAAGCCTGCAGGAAAGGAGATCTTTGCCAGTTTGTCTGAGAAGGAGATCTGCAAGTTTGTTGAAGTCAAAATCAGATTCGAAAAGGAAGTTGCTGTAAAATGGGAGAGAAATCAGAACAATAAAGATTTCTGTTGACTGTTTTTTAAAGTTTTCAAGTAATTAGAGATTCTTTGGGTCTTTTGAGAGGCTATAAAAAGTTGCGATTCTGGAGCAGCAGAGGCACGTTTTTCTTCCCACATAGTTCGCCATCTAATTTGAGAGTTTGTTTAGTTTTCTTTTGTTTTAGTGATTGAAAGATATGAATATGAGTGACTAATTTTTTAGTTCAGTTCAAGGCATTCAATTTTCATATGTATAATTGTGAGACTTGTTCTTTATTTAAATAATTGTTCATTGAATATCTGTTGTTTCTTATAATTAAGGTGTTAATTCTATTGGGTGATTTGCTAAAAAGGCCTATTAGTTAATTATTTGGTAGGATTAAGTGCTATTTCTTATTTGGATAGGATAGATGTGCTATTTGGCTCAATCTTCCATTATATCCGTAATTGGTTGTGGAAAGATTGAGTGTTAGTAGCAATAGGTTTTACTGATTATGTTTCAAAGTTTTCGGTAATAATCTAAAGAAACATAGAGTTTGAAATTAAATAATTTTATGCTGTTTAAATTAATTGTTCAAATTTAACTAACTTTTTCAATGTTCTTACTCGCTTTTATTAGGAATTGAAAAGGAATTGCTTAATACCTGCTCAATCAGGTTAATAATTAGAGTTAATATAGGGTGCTACGGGTCCTCAAATTAACATGTCACAATAGGAAGGTCAGAGATCTTATTCACTGCTTGTTGGTAGTTTTTTCAGTTTAAGTCATTCAAAGAGTAATTCAATTTCAAAATTTGTAACTGTGATAAATTTATAACCATTGGATTATAAATTGCCTTGAATTGAATGTCTATTGGATTGAGTTTCAATTTAAGTTTAATAGTCAGTTTTATTTTGATTTCTTTAAGTGAATTTTCAAAAGCCAACCCCCTTTTTCTCTTTACAAAATATCACAAAATTTAAGATTTCAGTCTCAAGTGTTCGACTTGAATTTACCACTTATGCAATTAAAATTCAGTAATTAATTTTCGGTGGAATCGACAACCATCACTATGCCTTAGTGTGCTTGTTTATGTTAACTTTATCTATTTTAATCTATATAATTATTTTAATTCAACCTGTATTTATTGTCCCATTAATCTTTGTATCAGATTCTATTGATTTTTTATGACAGCAGTTATTATATTCACAATCACATATAAACACAATTCATAGAAAAGTAATTTGTTGTTGATTAGAAGTTTTATGTCAATAACTCAATTTGTATTATCTTAATAACTTAATTATTTTAAACTAGGAGTACATAAAACGAGTACAAACCGTGTAACCGGCTAAACAAACATCAATTCCATATTTATTTCAGAGACCAACACACTTTATAGATACGTATGTGTGTGTTCGGCTAATATCTTATTTAACTTAACTATTTTAAATTATGAATACAAGTACAAATAATATAAAAAATACCAATTCAAATACCAATTCCATATTTATTCAGAGACGAACACATCTTATGGATAGGTAATGTGCATACGCACGCGCGAGAAGAAGGAGCTCAAAGGCCGGAATAGGCTTTCAAAGTACGGTGCTGCTTGTGAACTTCAGGGGTACAAAGAAATGAACCAGACCAATATGATCGAAGGGTTTATACATTAATGGATGCTCCTCATAGGCTTTCAAAGTACGGTGCTGCTTGTGAACTTCAGGGGTACAAAGAAATGAACCAGACCAATATGATCGAAGGGTTTATACATTAATGGATGCTCCTCATCAACAAATTCTTCTGGCACTTTTATTATTCCTTTGACATATGAGAATAGGCCAATCGAGAGTCTTTTCTCCTTTCTGTTTATTGTCACTCTATGATCACAGGAATAGGCCAATCGAGAGTCTTTTCTCCTTTCTGTTTATTGTCACTCTATGATCACAGGCATCAATCCTGTTATTGCTCCACCCCTATCATCAAACTCAAACACTCATCACAAGTATTTTGGGACGATTGAAAAATGAAAGTAGGACAAAAATTATGGGACAGTGAGAGTACTTTTATTCATAAAAACTAAAATATATTGGTTCGATAGTTACTGAAGTGATAGTTACCGAGCTTGTAGTTCCTTACCATGATTCCTTCGCCTGCCATGACTAAAAATTTTGAAGAAGAAGATAAGTCCACATCTACCCACTCTCCATTCTTTGTTTGAATTTCCCAACCATTGACATCATTCTGATGAAGTATGGTATGGTAAGGAAACTTTTGTCCGTAACTCGCAGGGTACAACCCAAGTTCTGGTTTTCATTTTCCATTTTAGTTGAGGAATTATATATTAGTTCACTATCTTGAAAAGTAAGTGGTCGATCTCGCATATGGGACTGATAGTTCTTTCTTTTCCATCCCATAACCATCGAGAATCATCTTCTTCACCATGCAGTTTAATGTAGCTCTTTCCACTGCCTTTATGTAGCTCTTCCACTGCCTTTGAGAACGAATGGACAATTTTGCTATCAAGTAATGCAGAAAATAATTAAATTTTTGAAAAAAATTTATAACCAAGGCTATAAATTAAATAAATCGCGCATACCAGAAATTATCATTGCCTTTAGGCCACATGGTTTTTGTGAAATCTTTATTTCCTTCGAGCATTTCTACATGACTGATTCCCATGGATTCGTAGAAAGGCCGGGTGGGTTCTATTTCAACGTAGCCAGCGAAAGGAATATCAGAAACATTTTTCCTTTTGGTCTCAAGAGGAAGGTCAAACAATTCTTCTAGTACGTTGAACAAGTCTGCATGTAGTTGAAGGGGAACAGCATATGTAGTTGAAGGGGAACATTATTATTAAACAGCTTAACCGACAGCGCATCCATACTCCTCAAGAGGAAGGTCAAACAATTCTTCTAGTACGTTGAACAAGTCTGCATGTAGTTGAAGGGGAACATTATTATAAACAGCTACGAAGCATCCATACTCCTCTAGTGCTTTCAACACGTCCTTGCATCTGCTCGCCCAACCACTTGTTCTTGCAGCCTCCAAATTTTCCCTTGAGAAGTCTATCACAGGACGCTTGGAGTTAGACAAAGAACCAATAGATAAAATTATAAAATTATATATGTTATGATGAAGGATATATAGGACAAAATAGAGAGAAATCCCTAAATTTTGTGATTCTGAAATCTAATTTTGTAGTCTTATTATTTATAGAGCAAACCCTAAATCAAATATGAAATAATTTAAGAACGCAACAGCCTGGACCAAATAAACTTCCTATTGAAGAAAGGATAGGAAATACTCTTAAATAGCAAGTTGCACAAACGGGAAATGCTACCATAATTTTATTTTCTTTCTTTTGTGTATTGTAAATCAATCTAAAAAAATTTAGAATCAATTGTATTCCAATTCAAATGAAAGAAAAATATTATTTTCATATTAATTAAAGGCCAAAAGTCAAATTAACTTTTATATAGTCTGTGTATTTCGATTTTCTATTGTTAATTTACTCTTTCAACTTTATATATTTAATTATAAATCGAGTCATTGATTTGATTCACTATAATTTACTAAAGATTTATTTTACTTTTTAATTTTATAAATTTAATTATAATTTGAGTCATTAACGTGGTGAATTATAATTTATTGAGAATCTGTTTAGTTTAACTGTGGTAATACTTTAGAAAAAATCAAAAACTATTGGTAGCAAATAGTTTTTTTTTTTTAATTTTTTATATAAATGGGAGGCTCAATGGACCAAAATAACATTGTGGGCTATACAGCAGGAGCAGTCCTTCCTTTTGAATAACTTTCATAAAACTGTTGATAAATTTTACGGTGGAGGGACTCGAATTCAAGATTTTTCACTTCGTCTATCTTTTACCATTGGTAGGAAATAGTTGGCTGTTGTAAGTTGATATATTATATATACCATGTATTTGATAAATTTAAATTAGTTAGGTATTTGTCAAACTTCAATTAGCTGTTGTTGAGAGGCTGACTGACTATTAAAACTATAATCATATATTTTGTATTATATATTTTTTCATTTAGCTTATATAATCGACTAATATAGTATAACTATTGATACCATGAATGACGTGTAATTTTAGAATACTAGAAGGATTGATAATTTTATCATAAAATTTTGAGATCGTTTAAGTTTATTGAATTCATTTAGAAATTTTATATTTTTTTTAATAGAATGTAGTTTAATTATATCCAAATCTATAAGATTGGCTTCATAGGATTCAATTCTTTTTTTTTTTTTTTATACCAAAACAAATTTGAATTTAGAATGAATTTCATAAAATTTTATGGAATTTATTTGTTCCGTACCATAGTAAGCTAAATGTAGTAAGTGAAATTATGAACGTATATCATAAACTCATTTATTGTACAAGAAGAAACTTGGATTTTAGAATGTTATACACAACAACATTAAAATTGATTTTTTTTTTTTTTTTTTCTAAAATAACCCAGTGGTCTTGAATATATTCCATGTCTAACTAGTGCCTTGTAACTCCTTGTTAGAGTGATGGAAATGGGTTTAACCTAGTCATTGGGACACAAATAAAGGATTAGCCGTCTTTACGTCTCTCACAATTGCTCTCGCTCTCTCACAATTGCTCTCACTCTCTATTTCTTAATGTTGTACTGAGATGAAGAAAATCCTCTCCTATTTATAGGAGAGGTTTAACGCGTCCACCGAAACTGTAACGCGTCCACCGAATCCTAACGCGTCCACTTCGGTATTCTCTCCTGCAGATGAGAAAATCCTCTCCTATTTATAGGAGACGGTTTGAAGCGCGCCGTGGCGTCCACGGCGACACACTGTAACGCGTTCCACCGAAATCCTAACAGCGTTCCCCACCGAAATAAAATTTTCTTCTTCCTTTTATATTTTTCCTTCCAAACCGGTGTGGGTCTCAATATGTTGGGTCAGGGACCAAAGTAAATACTTTTAACAACACTATAGATTGAAGGTAGGGGAGGGTGGTTATCTCTGATTCTTTTTCCTAACGCGTCCACCGAAAATAAATTTTCTTCTTCCTTTTTATTTCTTCAAACCGTGTGGGTCTCATATGTTGGAGGGACCCACAGTAATACTTTAACACACTATAGATTGAAGGTAGGGGAGGTTGGTTATCTCTGATTCTTCCGCTAGTCTGCTCTTTCCTACTACAAAATCTATTTCTTCCTTTGCTTTCTTCATAATATCTGGGTGATTTATTACCTCTGCTAGTGTCCATTCTCTCGTAATTGCAGATGTGTCAGTCCCAGCTAGAAATATATCCTGTAAAAATGCTGAAATTTCTTCAATTTATTGCATGATTTTCTTAGACATCAAATCATCATAATTATTTCCAGGATATGAGTTAAGGAGATGATACATAAACAGGATAAATGCCTTGATGTTTTCTTTAGTCAATTTCATTTCTGAGTTCTCATCTTCTGATATGTTAAGTAAAATATCAAGTGAATCTTTCACTGAATCTCCTTCACCCGTTTCCTTGTTTATCTTCCTTGCCTCTTCATGTTCTGCTATGATCCTCTGCATCATTTTGTCAAACTTTTCACGAACTTTCTCAACCCTTCTTCTAAATCCCTGCAAATCCATGTTCTTACAAAGCCAAATATAGTCTGACAAATTGAATTTTCCTACAACATCAAAAACATCCCGCACCAACTCCCTGACCTCTTCGTCTTCATTATCTGAACACCTTTCGCTCATAGTCATTCTTGATATTACATTATTGGTTGGCCTTAGAAGCTGTCGTCCAACATCAAAAGATTCACCTGCATTTGTTTCTTTAGTATGGTGTGCAAAAACTGTCCTATCTCTTCACGCCTGCCGGGAAGAGCTGGTCTAACATTCGACCTCCGAGAAGTTCTGTCATGCAAATTTTCTTCATGAACTTCCAGTAAGGTCCACAAGGAATAAAGGCGAAATCAGCTGTGCCGTATGTGAAGTAATCCACCACAGCCACTTTTGGACGATCCAACCAACAGATTAATGTTTTTTTTTATCATTTTAAATTAAACAACTAATTAAACATTTATCTTCATCAAATATTTTTAATTTAAACCGTTATAAATAATTAGCAATTAAAAAGTTAATTGCTTTTAAAACAACTAATATTATCGAACAGACTTTTCATGCAATGAATAAGAAATTAAATATAATTAAAAATATAAAATAGTAAATCAAGGGGATTCCTGTAAAGAGTAGGCAGCACTTTTATTACAAGTGGTACACGGTTTGCGCTAAAGTGATTCCCTAGTTTCTCAGTTCTTAGAAAGGAACTGAAAGAGAGACTGCTGGAGAATATAGGTATACTTTTTCTGCTGGCTTGGTTGAACTGGTTAACCAAACCAATGCCTTTTACAATTCCTAGTCTCGTTTATTGCTAAGTATAGAAAGAAGAGCAATCGAGCCCAACGAACCAAAGAAAAGATTTGAACCCATGTAAAGCATAGCCATCCCATATGACTTTAAAAATTCGTTAAGAAAGCGAGAGAGCTTAGTCCTAAAAGCAGATCGCCCTTAATATAACTTAATATAAAAGGAGACCGCCCTCTGTTTGGTTGATTGTTACGTGGGATCAATGCTATTGCTATGCGATTGGTCAAGTCTGCTAGTTAATCGGCTACCTCTTATAGAATAGAATAGGGGCAGACCTATCACTCTATGAGATTTCTCATGGGAAAGCCTGCCTTTGGCACAAGAATGCTTGTTAAAGGCTAGAGAATGAATAAATGACCTATTTTAGGGATATTACATAAATAAATATATATTACACATGGTCAGATTTTTCTTAATGAAAATAATATAAACGACGATAAAATAATAAAGATATGTAATATAGATAATAATTTTCAATAGGAAAGAAACATAACTTACTAATTTTACATATTAGAAATTAAAATGAAAATAATAATTAGTATTTAAAATTTTAAATATGTTATCGTAATTCTAAAATCCGATCAATTTAGTTTCATATTATTTTAAAAAAAAATATTAAAATAGAATCATGAATTATAATATTAAATATATCACCTTGAATAAATTAAATATCATGTTTTATTCAATGAATTTAGAGTTTTAAAAATTTTTTTAGTAGTTAAGTTTTAACTTAATAACCAATAATAAAATAATTGAAATATAATACTATTATATAATTTAATATAATACAATACTATTATATAATTTAATATTTATATGAAGTGTTATATATTTATAGAATGCAATCAAACTTAAAACTAAAATTTAAAAAAGAATGTAAAATTAGATATATCATTGAATCGCAATAAAAAGTAACTTATAGAAATTATGAGATGTATATAAGAATGTAAAATTAGATAATAATACGCATTGAATTCCGCATAAAAAGTAACTTAAGTTATACCAAAAAGACGACTAATTAAATAGTCCTTTGGACCAGTAGCCCGCACTTCTGGGTTTCCAGCCTATATATCAATACTGTTTACAAAAACAGTTAAATTGTAAACTCTCTAATAAAATCTAAAGACCAAGGACTAATATAGATTATGTGCAGATCACCCACATGCATTTTGGAATCGTAAACAACACATAGTAGATTTACCCTATGAAAAGGACTTTGATGAAAAGTCCGTTACTACTAAAGCCCTGTTAAAGGCTTTCTTCTCTTCTCCCTCCACAATCTGACTTAGTTCTGGGGATCCCAGGCTAAGGTTGCAGGAACAGCCCTGAACTCATAGAGCACTGTAAAAAAGAAATTAAAGATTTAGAAAATAAAAAATTAATTAGCAAATCTAGAAGTCCTTGGTCTTGTGCAGCTTTTTATGTCAATAAGAATGCTGAAATAGAAAGAGGAGTACCTAGATTAGTAATTAATTATAAACCATTAAACACAGCTTTAAAATGGATCAGGTATCCATTACCTAGTAAGAAAGATTTATTAAAACAATTGTATAATGCAAACATTTTTAGTAAATTTGATATAATGCAAATATATTTAGTAAATTTGACATGAAATCTGGTTACTGGCATATCCAGATTCACCCTAAAGATAGATATAAAACGGCATTTACAGTCCCTTTTGGACAGTATGAATAGAATGTGATGCCTTTTGGATTAAAAAATGCACCATCAGAATTTCAGAGAATAATGAATGACATATTCAATCCTTATTCTCAGTTTTGTATTGTGTATATTGATGACGTTTTAGTTTATAGTCAAACTCTAGAACATCATATTAAACACTTAAAAACATTTTGTATGGTAATTGAACAAAATGGATTAGTTCTTAGTAAAATGAAAATGGACTTATTTAAAACTAAAGTTAGATTTTTGGGTCACTATATAGAACAGGGTATTATCCAGCCCATAGAACGAGCTATGGTTTTTGGGTCTAAATTCCCTGATGAATTAAATAATAAAACCCAACTTGAGCTATGGTTTTTGGGTCCAAATTCCCTGATGAATTAACTAATAAAACCCAACTCCAACGTTTTCTTGGATGTTTAAATTATGTTATAGATTTTTATCCCAATCTAAATTGCATGATAAAACCATTGCATGATAGGCTTAAGAAAAATGCTGGCCCATGGGAAGCCCAGCATACCCAGTTGGTACAAAAGATAAAAACCTTAGTCACAGAAATTCCGTATTTTTATATTCCTAATCCAATAGCCTTTAAAATTGTTGAAACCGATGCTTCAAATGTTGGATATGGTGGTATATTAAAACAAGTAATTAATGGTAAAGAGCGTATTATTCAGTATACGTCTGGTCATTGGAACCAAACGCAATTAAATTACTCTACCATTAAAAAGGAGATTTTGAGTATTGTAATTTGCATAAATAAATTCCAATCTGATTTATTAAATAAAAAATTTTTACTTCGGATTGATTGTAAATCTGCAAAAGATGTTTTGCAAAAGGATGTTAAGAATCTTGCTTCTAAACAAATTTTTGCTAGATGGCAAGCTATTTTTAGTATTTTTGAATTTGATATAGAATTTATTAAAGGCAACAACAATAACATTCCAGACTTTCTGACTCGAGAATTCTTACAGAACAATGGGCAGGAAAAAGGATAAGGGCAAAGCCCCTAAAGAGGAACCTGAATCACCTACTAAAGCTCTCTCTGAGCACTCCGAAGATTTACCTAAAACCCTTGCCTTAATCACTAAAACCCCTTCAGATCTTCATAAATGGATTGCACAACTAAGTCAATACCCTGAAGTAATCAAGGCGTTACAGAATATAGCTTCCTCTTCCACAGAGGAGCCAGGTATGTCTTCTAAACCTAAAACGATCGTACCCGTTCATGGTACGGCTAGTCTGTCTCAAACGGTAGACAGTAAAGACTTATCAAATCCGTTAATGGCTGTGGATTTGAGACAGTAAAGACTTATCAAATCCGTTGATGGCTGTGGGTTTGCCAAAAATCCAGTATACTCCAAGTATACATAAATGGTTTGTTAAAACTCATTTTGATTATGAAATCGAAATTGAGGATGGATATAATAATATTAATCCTTGGTCTGTTTTAAAACAATATTATCCTGAGGATTGGTATTTTTCTCCCACTGATCTTTCAAAACCTCAAGAATATTATCATAATATTCTTTTGGATACAGGATCTGTAAAAATTAAACATAATTATGATTCAAAAAATAAATCTGTTATTTTATATTCTTCACTTAAAATCCAACGGATTCTTCATCCCAAGTAAAAATCCCAACGGATATCTTCATCCCAAGGACTGGCCTAAACCTCTCTTTCTACCCCCTGTTCAACATCATTCTCACTATCCTCCAACGAAGATAGTAATGATGAAGCTTTTGAATCTATTATAGTCAAAAGTAAAACTGATAAGGCAAAAGTAAAACTGGTGTTTATCATTGCACTTGATAATCTATTTTGACACATCCTTTCGTACTGATTGTAAGGTGCCTAACTGGTTTAAAAAATGGTGGGAAACTAGGGGAATTTCCAATGAAATTATCCCTCCTCAAATCCAGGCATTATATCAGTATTTTAAGGCCCATTATAAACCCAATCCTGCAGAAGCCCATATTCCTTCCCTTATGTACTATTGTATGGCCTTCTTCACGCCCTGGGTATATCAATGGTATTTGGAGCCCTTGGGTAATATCAAATGGTTATTTGGACACTCAGTACTGGGACACTCAGTATGCCGTAGGAACGTACCAGATTCCTATGTTGGTAAAAAGACATAAGATTAAATGGTGGGGATCTTTCAAGAACTCTACCACGGAACTAAAAATTGATCTCTGGATACGTGATAAATTAAAACAGGTTTCTCCATTAACCTATGCAACAACTCTTGCACTAAAAGATCAACCGACTTTCGGAATCCAAAAGGCACAATGCCAAGCAAGGTTAGCTGCTGCTAAAACTCCAGATGAGTATAGACGAATCTGTCAAGAAATGCTTCAGCATCTTTCAACAGATTCTGATTCTCCAGTAAAACCCTCATCAAGTAAAAAGCAGGCAGACTGTTCCAGTAGTTCCAGCAAAATATCTAAATCAAGCAAACAGAAGTGGGCTGATATGGCTTCCTCTTCGTCATCAACATCATTCTCACTATCCTCCAACGAAGATAGTAATGATGAAGCTTTTGAATCCATTATAGTCAAAAGCAAAGCTGATAAGGCAAAAGAAAAATTAAAGCAAAAAAATAAAGCAAAGAAAAAAAGAAAAGAAAAAGAAGGACACATCGTCCTCATCTGAGTAAAAGGCAAGTGAAACCTTATTTCACCATCATTCAACAGTAAAAGTTAAATCACTGTTTCTACAGCAAAAGCCAACGTATCATCCACAGTAAAGATTCGGTGGCAGACCAACTATATTTCCGCGCTGGCAAGACCACAAATAATTCATAAGTCACCAGTAAAGGTCAACACTGCTCAGATTACGGTGCAAGACGCAAAGCACTTGTT